TACAAGTCTGTGCCTTTATTCACTCAATCAAATCTGATAACAATACATCAAGCCCAATTGGATGGCATGCTAGGATGGCCTGGGTGTCGATCTGAGATTCGATCTAAGGTCACGCACCCGGTAGTACGTTACTTGGCATTATCCCAGATTCTCATACAACACATATTCATAGAAGATTTACGGGTACTCAGCACCTTCATCATACCCCGTTCGCCGATTTTGTTGACAAATAAAACCTCGCACGTTTTTGCCTGCAACCACAGTATCGTGCATGAAAAATCTCCAGAATAAGGAAAAAACAAGAAAAAACAGTACAGTCATCTCCCCTGTTTACCTCACCCCCACTCCTGCGACTATAGTGCTTTCAAACAATATTACATAGTCCAGAAGGTGTGCATGGGACATTAGTGGCTCCGCTCGAGCTCTCCTGTACGGCCGATATAGGAGAAAGAAGCCATTCCAGACACAAAAAAACAGACCACCAAACAGCTGTGCGATGAAAACACCCTGAGAAATCGGCCCCTTGTNAAGGCAGCATCTCATTTGCCCAGCCGATAATATGCATCAAAACGGCAAATGAGAACCGGTACTTGACGATGCAGAAAAACGAATGGAACACATCGAAACGCCATAAAAGACAGTTAGTTTACCAGTGAAGATGTTTGTAAACTTACAACTACATAGTCCTGAAGCATAAACCTCAAATATGAGGTATCGATCATTCTAAAGAGCGACATGGCGAGGATGGTATTGAAGTGCCAGCAACCCAACGACCATGATATCGACCAAAAAACACTTAAAGCGCGCCAAAATCGAGATCAAACACTCCTGGCCAATAGATCCGATGAACTTGACTTTACTGTTGATTCAAGTGGACGAGTAATCCGGGAGGAGTAGCGATCCGACAGAAGGCTCCAGAGAATGATGCAGATGTACAGTAACCCCTCCCCCGATTGTTTAGTTGTAAACTACTTGTAAATGGTCCACTCAGTACAAGAAAACGATTTCATACCGCTGTAAGGTAGAAAAGCATGAATAATTTGAAATCGATGGACGAGAATGATGTCGAGGGCGATGTGAGCAGGCACAAAACGAAGCACACGCGTCAGTATTGAGGTGGCGTTGGACGGCCCAGTGGCGAGTTGAAGTGCATAGACGAAACCGACCGATGACCTAACCGAAGATCATGATCTCACTAATTGATATATACAAAAACACATACAATACGGTCGTATTCATAGAGGAATCGTTGGACGGCATATCAGAAGGAAAACATGAAAATAAAAATATCTCAGCACACATTCTCTAGCTTGTGGTTGAAGATGAGACGGCGATCAATTCGAGCCGCAGAATTGTCACTGCACGTTTGCCGGACGATTCAATGTACGACTAATGAATCTACTTATGTGTTTCCATGAATTTTCAAATGACAAAACTTTCGAAATCGAAAATTCTGGGGAAAAAATAAATCCCATGGGGCTCAGCGGTCCAATTATGGGGGCATAAGAGTCCCGAAGAAAGTTGTAACTCACCATTGGGGTGCACACAAAAGTTCTACCTTAGTTAGGTCGTGATAAATACTTCCAACTCGTTTAATCATCATTCAGTCACTGATAAGCCTCTGGTGATGAAAGATGAATACTGGCGCCTATGACTAAGAACCAAAACGAACCCTTCCGATGACTCTCTTAATTTTACCTAGAGCACTCCCGATTTACACTCCCGATTTAGAGCTCACAGGGGCTCCACTGTCAGATTAGCTCCCTCATAACGGGCGTAGTTCATGAAATTCTTGGAATTTTTGTGGTTTCAAAGATAATCTTGTGAATAATACCACTTCCCATTCGATTTCACAGGCTCCAAAGAGGATGATTCTCTTGGGACGTCACCCATAATTTTGTCACTAATCTAGAGCTTATCCAAAAAAGAAACAGAAGATAACTTTAATCACGCTGAGGTCAAATAAAGTGACGAAAGTGGGCTATTCTGAAAGCTAAACCTGTATGAGATAAGAGAATTTCAAGCCTTTAGAACCCATGTCCTATGATAAAGTGCAAAGGAACCAAAAAACACTAACAAAAACACAATAAGGGCTGGCCTGAGAACTGAGCGACCACAGCGCCATGCATTTCCATAATGAAATTCATACAGAAAAACTACGACACACGTCATTGTCGAAAAAAAA